TGTCGGATAGTTCCCTCCTGGTGTGTCTTTACAAATGCCTTGTGCTGTTTTTATAGTACTGGTCCTTAACCCCGCTGGCCTCAAACAAATCTTTGAAGGAGAAGAAGGAAGTAGGTTATCACCCACAGCTCAGTCATGTCTGGAATGTTCTGTACGTGCTTTTCTTTTTCTTCTTTTTTTCAACCTCGAAAGCATAACAAATTCAACACATTATCACAGATTCCCTCTTCCATCCCCTTACACAACTGTGTCAATGGGATAAACTCAGAACTTATCTGTTTCTGTTTCCTCTTGCTCACCCTTTCCTAAATTACCACCCGGGTGTGTGTTCGCTGGCAGATCCCTCTAAAAGGCATTTTTTCCTGTCCCTGTGTCTCAAGAATACAACAAAAATAGGGAAAGACAACGTTAAGCACTCTTATAGTTCTAACCTTTGTCACGTGCATTTTCCTCAGCCTGCTCACCTCAGAGCAGAGAAAGAAAAATCACCCTGTGCCTGCATGGATGTGAGGTGTCTGACTGATGGAGTGTATCTGCCACTAAGTCTGTGATCACCCTACGTAACCTTAAATGCTCCTCCCAAACCTACACTCCAATAGACTGCAAAAATTATTTTCCTACTAAAAAATGTTAGCAGCTCTCCATAGAACTGTGACCACAACTCCACTCCATTGAAGGAAACAGCCCCTCAAATCTAAAAAGAAGAAATGCTTCATGGCTAGTCTCCCAGACACATGTGGGACATGAACAGCTCATTTACCCTGGGCTGGAACGCAAGGTATCAAGAGGTTAATAAATGCCTTTCGATGAGTCAGTGATGGCAGATGTGGGGGAAGGGGACACAAGTTCTGGCCTTTAAGAGCCCCGAGTCCCTCCTGTAAGAGCCTAGGTCCCTGAAGCCCAGGCAGGGGACAGCGAAGCAGCCCGGCACGGCAAGCATCTCCCCCAAGAGCTGAGCAGTGGAATGTCCCAAACCTTCTCTTCAAGGCTTTTTCTCCTCCCTCAAATGGGCTAGCATTTTTGCACCTTTTTGGTTCAAAGCCACCTGCATGCAGACACTTGCCTCACAGCCACCAACATGCAGTGACGCAGTGGATGGTTCTTCAGGAAGTGGGATTCTTAAATGTATAAACAGATGCTAATTGTCTGTGGGTATTTCCACACACGGGGTGGGGGGAGGAGGAAGATGGAGAGTGGGAAAGGGGGATGAGGGAGGTTGTGAGGGAGCCAGGCTCTGGGCGAGGCCCTGACACGCACATGCTCACATTCACGTATCACGAGTGTCTGGGACAGAGACACAGGGAGACTGAATGGGTGACTTCAGCTCAAGGAGGTGCCAAGACCCAGAGAGAAGAGCCTTCCTTTTGGGAGCACTTCACACGGGAGTGGACCTTGGCCCTCATCCGTGATAGAGTTACCAAGACTACATTAATAAGGTACCTTAGCCTTAAGGACAGCTCAGGGAGAACCCCCACTTTTGCGAGCCCCTTCGGCTGGGACTCCCACAAATATTCACTCTTTAAGACAGATCATCATCCAGCCTCTGAAACAGCAACGACCCATCTACCTAATCGGTCACAGAGGTCAATGTTTTGTCACAGCAACTTGTCCAACTGGGCCAACCAATATTTTGCCTTAAAGTCTTTTCCTTCCTGTGAGGCGTGGCTCTCTCTGGACATTTGAAATCATATCTGAATCCTCTCCAGAGCAATTCCTATACTTGCAGACAACACACATCTCCGGCAGCCTTCTCTTCAATAACAACCCCATTCCTGGGTCGTCTGCTGTCTTTTCCTCCCTGAATCCACCGTGATGACTAGCCCGGGCTGAACGCTGTGACATGGACCTGATACACTGCAGTGACCCTCGCGCATCCATATTTCTGCACACAAACAAGCTTTGAGGAGTTTCATCCTCCTATGAAACTGGGTCCTTGTATGTCAAAAACAAGATTTCCCTAAGGCCAAACCATTTTCTGTGTCTTGGCTCAGGTGCTGGAAAGAATGAAGGTCTCTCAACTTAGATTTTTCCCATGGCTTAGCTCAGATAAATGTCCTTTCCATGTACCATGCACGGCCGTAGGCCCTGCAACTCTTCCCAGCCATCAATGGCCCCGAGTCTGTCCTCAGGGCCCTGGTGATAGTCACCATGCTGACACTGCACCCCTGCCTCCAACCAGCAGCCCCACCATCCCTCATCCCAGGCCGAGTCTGCTGCCCCCAACCTTGGCCTGAGACAGAACCATTTCAGAAGTTCCTTCTCCCCACCTGGGCAGACAACCCTGGAAGACCCTCACCCAAAACACAGTCTCTCCACCCACAGTACAGGGGGGTGGCTCCCCTCTCATGTACCACTCCCCTCCCTCCCAATCACCCGATCACCCACCCGCCACCTCACAGCCAGGGAAAGAAGTGCTCACTAATCCTAAGACAGAATTAGAACTCAGGACCCATTTCCAACATAGCAACAGAAAAACCAGGGCACAGGAGATCAGCTAACTTGCAGAATGAATGCACTTCTGTGGGACTCTTTGGAAGGCAGGAGCCACACAACCAGCTTAGAAAATAAACTTTTGTAGCCATAAACAGTCATGTGGGGAATGACATTTTATTTTATTTTTATTTTTTTGCAGGGAGAGCAAATTAAGTTTATTAATTTTTTTTAATGGAGGTACTATGGATTGAACCCAGGACCTTGCGCATGCTAGGCACGCAATCTACCACTGAGCTTTACCCAAAGAGGTCTTGATACACTGGTTCTGTGGCTTTGAGAACCACCACCCAGGACTGACACCCTGAAGAGTGACTTGGTCATATAGCTCAGTAACTCGGTCTCTTCTATGAAGAGGAACTTTGAGCCTCCACCCCTACACAGTGCACCCAACATGACTTCTCTTTCCGTCATGACAGTCCTGCAGTCTAGGTAAAGGACAGACATCTGTGTCCACACAGACCAGGTGAGGCGAGGTAAGGAATACAACATTCCAGCACTGCACAATTTCAGAGTCTAGAGGAGAGGTTGTAGTCTAGATAAAGCTGACAGTGGACTCTTTTACTTCCCCCAAATCATCTTTTTAAAATATGTTTGTGCCTTTCAACTACAAATTCAAATGCTGACTATGGCACGAAAGAACACTACAACAAATACTTTGTTTTTCCTGATGTCTCCCTGAGTCAGCGGCTCCCTAACCACTTTGAGAGAGCCTGTCCAAGGAAGAGATGGATGAAAACTCACTACCTGGGGCGCACCTGCTCGGATGCTGCATCTCCTTCCCGATCCATCCAAGAGGTCTGACTCTGCCTCCATCTCTCCTGCTGGCACCACGCAGACACGGAATCTGGGTTATCACTCCAGAGTATTTTGATTCCAACTAGCTTCCCTTTCTGCTTAGGCCCTCCCGACCAGGCCAAAATCTTTCTGTTTCTTTACAGGGTGAGGAAAACAAACCCAAGGAAGGCCCCTCAGTCCCCTGCCGGGGACAGAGCTGCAGAACCGAATTTTAAAGCCATGAGAAAATTCTAAAGTCAGACATCTGGGCTCATTTGAGCGACTGAGCCAAAACACAGATGGAATGGTTGGGCCCCTCAGAATCCAGTTTCGCAGGAGAAAGACTCTCAGCCCTGGGGTGTGTGCATGTCGGGGGTGAGGGGTGTTGGGGGTCTGCCCTGGGGGCAGGGAAGGAAATATAAGACTCTTTGCTTTTTCTCTCACACCCCTCTCTCTCCATCTCAGGGAAGAAGGGATGAGAGAGGTGGGAGGTGCTGAGACAGAACATCCTCCTTCACACCTGGGAGTGACCTCTTGGTAGACAGTTGGAAGTGGGACCCAGCACGGGAGCCACCCCCAGGCTACCCTGTGAGTCTGCCATCTTCATGGGGCCTCTGGCTCCCAGAGGGACTGAGATGGGGGAGCACAGAGTTCAGTTCCAGATTCCAGGACTTTCTAGGAGGGACCCCTCAAGGAGGGCCCATTTTTAGCACCAAGCATTTTGACAGGGTTCCTATTAGGGTAATTCCCAGCAATTTGGCAAGCACGCTTTCAGTGAGGAAAGACAATGAGAAACCACCCAAGTTTAATTCGTGAAAAATCTGTGCTCTCATTTTCCTATTGAAACACTTGCAAACACAGACACACAGACGGATCACTCTATTAAAAAAAAAAAAAAACTAGAGTCCCCTGCAAACACAGTCCCCTGATTACTGACTTTGGCTGGAATCTCATCCTAGTTGAACGGGGCAGAAGTAGCTTAGTGGCCCCCTGTGTACACCTGCTAGAATCTGACAGTGGTTCACCTTTGCAGAGCTGCCCTGAGCCCTGGGCTTTGAGGGGAAGATCGCTTGCTGGAGAAAGCTATCACTTTTGTGATGACATAATGCTGACAGGCATCTAAGGCTCATTAAAACGTAAGCCCCCAGATGACAGGATGTCTCCTGAGTGCTGTCTGCACCCTGGGCCCGCTCTCGTTTCAGTTACCATAACACTCAACTTCAATAATAGACTGTAGTCCCAGCCACAGGTCCCCGTGCTCAGCCTGGACCTTTCACACATTTGCCTTTTTTTAACATACGTATATTATTTTTATTTTACTAACATTTAAATTTCATTATTCAACACTGAATATAAGTATATGCTGGCCTTGTGTTCAGGTTTTTGAAATAAAGACAGATGGACAATTTGAAGAGTGAGGTATTAAGCACTGCACGATCAAATAAACAACTTGTACCCCTTTTTACATTTAGTAGCACAAGTATCTGGACAATTGGAGGAAAAACCTGTCCAGGACTGAACTGAGAGGCCTTGCAAATTTGCCTTTTTATATTTGCCTACATATAATACAAATGTTGGCTTCGGATTTTCAAAGCCAGTCAGGATTTCAAATATCCCGTCCCATGTGTCTGTATGCATGTATCTGCATTTGGGGTATGGATAACAAAATAAAAAAATCAAGTGTGGGGGCAGGCGGCCTCAGATGGCGACAGCACAGGGCATCTGAGTGGGCCAGGGCCATGAGCACCTCCCGGCCCCAATTCAGCATGGATGATGCCTTTGAGCTGTCCCTGGAGGACACGGGCCCTGGGCCTGAGTCCAGCGGAGTCGCCCGCTTTGGGCCACTGCATTTCGAGAGCCGGGCCCGGTTCGAGGTGGCCGACGAGGACAAGCAGTCCTGGCTGCGCTACCAG